AACAAAATTCTTAAAATTCCAGAAAACTTTTTGTAAAAAAAGCCTCAAACCACAGTTTGACAGAACCATCCTACCCCAGGAATATTTGATACAGAAGAATCAACACTGAAATTAGAAGGTTTACTGAGTACCAAAGGGAAATAACAAATATCTGGGGCTTCCGTGTAAAAAAAAAAAAAATCACCTGTGATGGGAGAAATTATGGCCGGCCACACTTCTCTACTGCAACATCAGCCCTGGAAAACAGTAGGGCAATGTCTACAAATTCCCCAGAGAAATTCAAGATCTGTACCCAGCCAGTTTTCTTTGAAAAATAAAAGCAAACAACAAATTTTTTTAAAAGATTTTATTTATTTGACAGAGAGAGACAGCTAGAGAGGGAACACAAGCAGGGGGAGTGGCAGAGGGAGAAGCAGGCTCCTGGTTGAGCAGGGCGCCCAATGTGGGGCTCGATCCCAGGACCCTGGGATCATGACCTGAGCTGAACGCAGACGATTAATGACTGAGCCACCCAGGCGCCCCAGCAACAAATATTTTTAAACATACAGGGAATATATTGCCCAGCAGCCCTTATCAAAGAAGCTGTAGGCAATTCCAGCCAACTGCACCCCCCCCCCAACTTGGGCTCCACGCTCAGTGGGAGTCTGCTTGAGATTCTCTTTCTCCCTCTTCCTCTGCCCCTCCCCCCACTTGTGCATGGCATTCTCTAAAATACATACATACATACATACATACATACATAAAATCTCCTAAAAAAATGTACAGATTAGCTCATCCTTTACAACCTGACTTCAAAGGGTATTAAAGCTGAGATATTACAACTAACAGATGTAAAAGGATATTTAAGGGTATAAAGATATGTAAAGGTATAAAGGATATTTAAACACAAATACTAGAAGAACTAACAACCACAGTATAATACGATTAACTGAAAGTTACCATGAGGGGACAAACTTGACAGAGGAGGTGGGGAGACACGGAAGCATACTAATTTTTTATTGCACATAGTCAAGAGTTGATAATTGCTATTTGAAGAAAAAGAAGATTCATTATATAAAATTAAATCACTAAACTTTAAAAACACTAGCCATTGAAATAACTAAAAGCCAACTCAAAAAACCTTTCAAACCCTGAGGAAATGTATACAGAAAACACAAATCACGTAATAAAAAGATTTTTAAAGGGATAAGCAGTGTATACACGTTGTAACATAAAAGACTATCAAAACACCAAACGTATCTGTTATTATTGATAAATTCAAATGGATAAACTTACTGAAATAAAAATACTCAGGCTGGATCTCAAAACAAAACTCAGCTATTTGCAGTAATACAAAACATGATACAGGGGCACCTGGGTGGCTCGGAAGTTTAAGCATCTGCCTTCGGCTCAGGTGGTGATCCCAGGCTCCTGGGATGGAGCCCCGAGTCGGGCTCCCTGCTCTGCGGGGAACCTGCTTCTCCCTCTTCCTCTGCTGCTTCCCCTGCTTGTACACTCTCTCTGTGTCAAAAATAAATAAAATCTTTATATATATTTTAAAAAAGTGATACAAAATGTGATAACCAAGAAAGTTTAAAACAGAGATATGGGGTAAAACTCTGGGCTATATAAACAAAAAGAAAGCAAAAATGGTCACTTAATAAAATTCAGGACAAACAAATATTAAATGGGGGGTAAATAAAGAGAATTTATAATAAGGAGAAAACTACAAGGAAGACCTTATATTTATATATATTTATAAACCAGTTACAATACCATTCAAATTCAGAAAGGAAAAACATAAGGAAATAAAAGAAGAGGTAGAAATAGGTGACTCTATCTCAGCCGATGACAAATAAAGTTCATAAAATAACAAGCTGAGAGAAGACCTACATAAAATACTTAAGACACATTTTATGCATTGAGCTCACAGAACAGATAGTCAGTACCTTCTCAAGAACCACACAAGATATAACATTCTCCAGTCACAGTACAGAAAAACTCACAATCGATGACAAAGCTAGAAAACAAAGAAAAATAAGCAAACGCACAACTGTTGAATCAAAGAGGAAATTAAAACAAAAATAGAATTTTTAGAAAATAACAATAATGAAAACACTTCATATGCAGACTTATGAGATATGACTAAAATAGTGTATGGAGAAAAATTCATAGCTAAAGACATGGATATTTACAAATACTAAAAAATGAAGCCGCCTGGCTCAGTCAGAGGAGTATGGGACTCTTGATCTCAGGGTTGTGAGTTTGAGCCCCACACTGGGTGTAGAGAATACTTAAAAATATAAATACTAAAAAATGAAAATTGATCTAACTCAAGAAATTAGAAAATAATAGAATAAATATGAGGAGAGCAGAAAGAAAAACTAATGTAGACTTTAATGTATTAGAAAGGAAAAGGTTTTAACTAAAAAGTAAGTGGGGTTATTTAGGATAAAGACAACCTAATCAAGAAAAAAAGGAGAAAGCACAAAAAACACAATAAAGAAGAATGATGAAAATAACCTCAGACTTAGAGTAAACTAAAATAATTACATGTCTTATTTGTTCAGTTGCAAAATGACGTAAGATGATTTTCCAGAAAAAAAAATGTCTAATACTAACCTTAGAAAAGAGAGAAAAATCTGAACAGACCATTATTTAGAAAAAAATTAAGTTTTAAAGATTTAGTCAGCTGTCATCCACCAAAAACAGGCTGACATGTTTTCCCAGGTGGAATTGAAACAAAACTTTATGGAACTCTAATGCTTTAAAAATTTTTTCTGGAAAATTAGAGAATACAGTTCTAAACATTCATGCATTGAGGCACTCCCCCCCCTTTTTTTTTTGCAAACAGCAATAATGGACAAAATACACAAACAGAAAATTAGACAAACAAAGCCAGTTTTAAAAACAAATTAAATTCCTCCATGCACTGGGAAACAGGACAGTAACACAAAGTGAAAAACCTCAGCCACTGAAACTGGGCTCAGAACCAGCCATGGCAGCTGGGAGTTTACCTTTTGTAGGGTCATCAGGTCTAAGCATGATCATATGCAGCCAGGGTCATCGGCAGAAAACAGAGGCTGCCCCCGGGCTCCTCCATCTAGGAAAGGAGGCTGAAAAGCCACTGCCAACCGTGCCTGGTGCAAGGCTTGCATGAAGCTGTGGTCCTCGGGAGGCAAAGAACACAGCCCAGTTTATGACCAGGAATGAAATCAAGCTGTCCACTGACAGTTTGGCAGCCTATTTGCCATTGCTTCAATATCACCATGGGGCAGGAACCCCACATTGCCAGGGAAGACCTGCTCAGGACTGAGGGAACTGGGTGGATCCACTGGGCTGGCCAGTAGGAGTGTGAAGAAAGGGGAGCGGGGAGGGGATCAATGACAAAATAGACAGTTTCCAACACACAAATACTAAAAGAGCTTATTGTACATCAAACTAGTCCTTTAGCAAGAAGAAAGAAGGAAAGCTGTGGGGTTCAAGACACAATGATGAACACAGCAATTAATGAATGTGTGCATAAATTTAATTAACTGTAGATTATAAAAACTGTTAACTTTTTATGTATAGAAAAGTGAAACAAAGTATAGGAATCAGTATTAGGTGGGGTGTATGTTCACTAAGCAATATTAAAGCATGTTGAGATTCTTGTTTTGTGACTAGGCTTTTTATAAGATTAATTATGCTAAAACTTCAGGTATAACCATTAGAAGAACAGAAATACAAGCAACACAAAAGGAAGTAAAAGAACATAGAAAACTTTATCAATCCAACAGAAATCAGCGTAGGAAATAAAGCAGAAAAAAAAGATGGTAGGGGCACCTGGGTGACTCAGTCGGTTAAGCGTCTGCCTTCAGCTCAGGCCCTGATCCTAGGGTCCTGGGATCAAGCCCCACATGGGGCTCCCTATTCAGCAGGGAGCCTGCTTCTCCTTCACCCTCTGCTCCTTCCCCTGCTTCTGCTCTCTCTCATTCACCCTCCTTCTCAAATAAATAAATAAAATCTTTTTTTTTTAAAAATGGTAAACAAAACACAAAAAGAGATGTTTAAATATAAATAAACCCAACTGTGCTATTTATTACAATAAATGTAAATAGAATGTATTAGTTTTCCAGGTCTGCTATTACAAATTACCACAAACTTGGTAGCCTGAAACAACTGAAATTTACTCTTTCAGTGTTCTGGAGGCCAGAAATCCAAAATCAAGGTGTCAGCAGGGTCCTGCTCCCTCTGAAGGGTCTAGGGGAGAATCCTTCCTTTGCAGCTTCCACCTTTGGCTTGTGGCTACATAACTCTAACCCTGCCTCCTTCTCATGGTCTTCTCTCTTGTGTCTGCCCCCTGTGTTTCTCTTATAAGAACACGTGTCATTGGGTTTTGGGTCTTTCTGGACAATCCAGGATGATCGATCTCATCTCAAAATCCTTAACTTACGTCTGCAAAGACCCCTTGTCCAAATGTCACATTCACAGGCTGGGTCAGGAAGTGGATATGTCTTTTTAGGGGTCACCATTCAACCCACTACACAGGTTAATTTACCTACCATAACAAAAAGAGGGACTATCAAATTGGATTTTTAAAATCCAGCTACACACCACAAATTAAATACCTAAAGGTAGGTCACCCTATAATGATTGAAAATAAAGGGAGAAAAAAATATATACCAAGGAAATGCTAATCAAAAAGTCGATATAGCAGTATCAAACAGCCTGTAACTTGCATTTTCACTTTATTTTCAGTGTCTTTGATGAATAATTCTTAATTATATGAGCCAAATTTATCAATATATTCTTTCTGAGTTAACACTTTTTGTTTAAGATAGTCTTATCTCTCCCCCAATCAAAATAATATTTACCTGTATTTTATATCAAAACTTGTAAAATTTTGTTCTTGACGTGTAAGTTTGATCCATCTGGATCAATTATCTATGGTGTGAGGTAGGGATAAATCCCATTTTTTTTCCAATCTGAATTACATTTTTTTTTCAGATCCACTTGTGGAATAGCACTTCTTTTCATCACTGATCTTCCATGACAGATAAGTAAATCTGTTCCTGGGATCTTTGTTCTCTCCAATGTGCAAATTGTTTACCCCTGCTCCTGTACCATGTTATCTTGATAACTGTGTCTTCATCATAAATCCTAATTTTTGCTAGGACAAGTCTCTCCATCATACTTTGTTTCTCTAGAAGATATTGACTTCTTTGGGCTTATTTTCTTCTATCTAAATTAAGACACAATAAAGATCTAAATAAAGAAATCTATTATGTTCAGGAAGATCTATTATTATCAGGAAGATAATAACATAAAGATGTCAGTGCTCCCCAAAATGATCTATAGATTCAATAAAAATTCTAATCACAATCCCAGCAGGATGTTCGTGGAACTTGATAAGCTGATTCTAACATACATGTTCTCTTTGACCCAGCAATTCTATTTCTAGTAATATATCCTACATATATTGCACATGTAGGCAAAGTAAACATACAAAGAAATTCACTGTACCATTATTTATAGTAGAAAAAAAAAGATTAGAAACTACCTAATATCAACAAAGATGGAACTGATTAAATAAATTATGGAACATCCATACAAAGAAATACCATAAAAAGATGTTTTTAAAGACCAAGGCTGCTCCATATACATATGTCATGAGCTCCCACATACATTGTTAAGTGAAAAAGAAAAGAGCAGAATAATTTAAATTATGCTTTTAAGTTATTACTTGTAGTTATTGATATCACTAATAGATATTGAACATTTATTATAAGACAGGCACTTTTCTAAGTGACAGAGCATGGCTGAGATGGTTTTACCCTGATGGAGTGTTGGGAAGTGGCACAGGAGCAGGCATCTACCAGTGCCAGAAGGAAGGGCAGAGCAATGGAGGCAGTACACACTTATATTTACCTTGGAGAATTCAGCCCTGTGTTCAGGAAGAGGGAGGCAAGCAGGAAGACGTCATGTAAATAGTGTGGGAAGCCCTATTTACCATTCTATTCCATAAGCACATGGTCAGAAGAGATGGACCCTCTCTGTCATTGATCAACATTGAAGTAGTAATTAAAACAAATTGACCACAACTCTCAAAGGAGAACAGGTTTTCTTAAAGTCTCTGACATAAGAGATTTTTCATGTGGGACTCTTGTTTGCAAGTGGCAAAAACCAAACTCAAACGGCCTTAAGCAAGAAGACAAATTTATTGGTTCACGCATTTGAAAAGTCCAAGAGGAGATCATCCTTCAGGCATGCTTGGATCCAGTCACTGGGACCGTCTCGTCTTTTTGGCTCTGCTTCCCTCTCTGCAGAACTCAGCCTTGGGCAGCCTCTCCTCTTAGGCTGCCTTCAGCAGAACCTGCAATTTACCCTTCCTGTTTAAACTCTCATTTGCAAGAATCCTAACAAGAGCCCAGGCTATGTTTGGGCCACATGCCCACCCCCTGGAATGGGAATGGAGTCAATTCCATATAGGTCAGCCACAGAGACCAAAGTAGATGGTATAAGAGAAAAACAGAGCTGTTTTTTAATAGAATGAGTGTGAATAGAGAGACGTTGAGCACACAAAACCTACAGATGTCTATAGTCAGGGCTTAACCTAGTCTGGAAACCCAGGAGTGGCTATTTTGGGAATGTGGAACTTAAGATGAAGATTTAGAAAATTCTACCAAATATGCAAGTGTTTACCACTCTTCTGAATAAAGATTCTTGGTGCCTTTTATTGCCTCTACCCTTATGTGACATTATGAAGGGTCTCCTAAATTGGGAGGTGGTGGAGGAAGAGGCATGAAAGCCTTGTCTTTTATTTTTACCTTTAGTTTGCATCTACCCCCAAGTATAAGAACAATGTCTTATTCTTGTCATATGCCTAGAACTTAGCCCAGGGCCTGGTCTGTAGTGGGGAATAGGTAAGTGTTTGACAATCAATAATAAAATGATGAATAAAATATCACTTCTAAGAGTATCTTTTGTCATTAGATCTGGCTAAACTGTATTCTTACAATGAACTGTTTTGTCTTTCCATTCATCTTGCCATTCTTTTTGCTGGTCTCTCTGGCTCTTCTGCTGCTCGATTTTGTATCCTGGTTCCCTATAACCACTTCAGGCTACGTATGTTTGGTGACTCATTTCTTAAAAAAAAAAAAAAAAAAAAGATTTTATTTATTTTTGAGAGAGAGAGCATGAGTGGAGGGGGGAAGGGGGGGAGGAGAGGGGCAGAGAGAGAAGCAGACTCCCCGCTGAGCAGGGAGCCTGATGAAGAGCTCAGTCCCAGGACCCTGGGATCATGATCTGAGCCAAAGGCAGATGTTTAACTGACCGAACCACCCAGGCACCTTTGAGGACTCAATTCAACTCATTCTTTCGTAGAAGCCAAACCCTCAGTTTTTATCCAGGTACATAAATGTCAGTTTAAAAAGTTTGTTTTCTAACCTCCTTTGTAGCTAAGTATGGTCATATAACTTAAACTTAGTTCTGGATGATGGGAGGTGAGCATAGGTGTCCTATGACAGATTCTAGGAAATTTCTATGGTTGCTCATCTCCAAAGATGTCTCCCAATAATTCCTCCCCTCTGGGATATGCATGCCACTCTTCACATCAAGAAGTGGAGCGTGTCCACAAACACCTCTTCCTTGGGCTGGTCCTGTGACTGCTTTGACCAATGGAATGCAGTAGGAGAGACATTCAGGAACTTCCCAGCTAAGGCCTTAAGAGGGTTAGAGTTATAATTTCCTTCCTCTTGGGACACTAATGGTCCTTTTTAAATGCAGCTTCCATGCCATGAGGGAGCCCAAGCTGCTGTGAGGAAAAGCCCTCATGAAGGAGAACTGCGGTTTCATGCAATGGCCCCATCTAAGCTCCTAGCTAACAGCCAGGGCCAACTTGCCAACCATGTGGTTGAGGTCATTATTTTTACTGAAAATATTGCTGTTGGTCTCCTTGCAGATGTGGCTGTTGAGAAATAATGTTGTTCTGATTCTTGTTCCTTTGTAGGCAATTTGCTTTGCATCTAGAAGAGTTTAAGTGTTTGTCTTTGATGCACTTAAGTGATACAAAAGTGTACCTAGATATGTTTCTCCTCATCTATCCTATTTCTTTAAGTACTTGTATTTGTATTTTTGAGGTTTTAAAACTTTCTCTAATCTGAGAAAACCTCTGTCATTATTTATTTAAATATTCCGCTCTATATTTTTCCTCTTCTTCTGAGACATCTATTATTTGAATGTTGACACTTCAATTTTCCATGTCTCCTAACTTTTCTTTTTTCATATTGCATCTGTATAACCTATCCTGATACTTTCTGGAATGAATCCTACACTTTGACTTAGTCTATATTTTTCCGCTATTCAAACTATTGAATCCGTTGTTTCCATTTTTCTCCACACTCAGGAATTCCTCTCAGAGTTCCTTTTTATGCCTTACCTTTATAATCCATTTCTTTTTGCCTTAATATACTTATTTTTCTTTCTGGTTCTGTTTGGTCTGCTAAATTTGTTTCAGCAACCTCTTCAACCTCGGCCGCAGCAACTTCTTCCTAGAAACATCACCAAAGGCAAGGGCAGCAAAGGCAAAAATGAACTATTGGAACTTCATCAAGATAAAAAGCTTTTGCACAGCAAAGGAAATAGTCAACAAAACCAAAAGACAACTGACAGAATGGGAGAAGATATTTGCAAATGACATATCAGATAAAGGGCTAGTATCCAAAATCTATAAAGAACTTCTTAAACTCAACACCCAGAGAACAAATAATCCAATCAAGAAATGGGCAGAAGACATGAAAAGATATTTTTCCAAAGAAGACATCCAAATGGCCAACAGAAACATGAAAAAGGGCTCAACATTGCTCGGCATCAGGGAAATCCGATTTAAAACCTCAATGAGATACCAGCTCACACCAGTCAGAATGGCTAAAATGAAGAAGTCAGGAAACGACAGATGTTGTCAAGGATGCAGAGAAAAGGGAACCCTGCACTGTTGGTGGGAATGCAAGCTGGTGCAGCCACTCTGGAAAACAGTATGGAGGTTCCTCAAAAAGTTGAAAATAGAGCTACCCTACGACCCAGCAATTGCACTACTGGGTATTTATCCCAAAGATACAAATGTAGGGATCCAAAGGGGTTATGTGCACCCCGATGTTTATACCAGCAATGTCCACAATAGCCAAACTATGGAAAGAGCCAAGATGTCCATTGACAGATGAATGGATAAAGAAGAGGTGGTATATATATATATACAATGGAATAGTATGCAGCCATCAAAAAACACACAAAATCTTGCCATTTGCAATGACGTGGATGGAATTAGAGACTAGTATGCTGAGCGAAATAAGTCAATCAGAGAAAGACATGTATCATATGATCTCACTGATATGAGGAATTCTTAATCTCAGGAAACAAACTGAGAATTGCTGGAGTGGTGGTGGGGTGGGAGGGATGGGGTGGCTGGGTGATGGACATTGGGGAGGGTATGTGCTATGTTGAGCGCTGTGAATTGTGTAAGACTGATGAATCACAGACCTGTACCTCTGAAACAAATAATACATTATATGTTAAAAAAAAAAAGTAGGAAGGGAAAAATG